GACAGGCATCCCTTTTTAAAATTAAACCAGATTATGTAATCGCACACAATAATTACACAGGCTTTGTATCGGAACAGAGCGGTGCGGAGACGGCGGCGCAGAGCGTGGAGAGAGCAGGCGGGGCAGTCGCACTCACTAGCACACGCGCGCAAGGACAGGTGGGGCGAGGTCAGCGCCCAGCTGCAGGTGCAGTTCACTATCACTGTTCACTTTCACTGACACTATCACCGATCAATTTAACTAACACTATCACTGATCACTTGCAGAAGCAGCACTCACTTCGCACTTCACAGAGTCTTCCTAAGTCTGAAGTCTGAAGTCTTCGCACTTCGGACTGACTTCAGACAGACTTCGCACTTCAGTTCACGCACACAGGGGTAGCTCGCTGCCGATGTCGATCGCGTCGCTCTCGGAGTCGAACTGACGTCGTCGTGCCCCTGCACCCTGGCCGCCGGGCCCTCCAGTCCACCCTCACCTCACCCTTCCTCACCCCCTGGCCTTGTGGTCGTGGGAGCGAGTGAAATTTCAGCTTTTAGTTAATTTCTTTCTTTTTAAAATCATAGTTATAGTTATGGCTGCGGCAGCTTTTACAACTTTCCCAAAATCAGAGCGGCGGCGGCAGCCCTAGGCAAAGGGGCGAATGCTGCGCTGGACCTGACCTGGGACCCGGCGGGGGCGGGGGCAATAACCTGTCGCGCTCCACTGCCTCCCCTTCCCCAACGCAGCCCAGCCACCCCGGCCGACGCCCGTGCGGCACACTCGTGTGAAGTGCCGCGAGTCCTGCCCAGGCCGGACGAGATGCGCCCAGAATCGCGGTTTGAACTGCAAGAGGTCTTTTGACAGCGATGAAGTACTGTAGGCTGTACGTCTCATGATAAATTATTGTTTGGTTTGACATACGATTTTAATCACAGTGTGGCTATGGCGCACTCGTTCATCTGTAAAGTACCGAGTAAGTACGCGTATGGGCGCACGCACTGTGTGCCCCGATGTGCCCCGTATCGAGGCCAGAATGTCGTGTTTTATAGCTGAGCAATTAAATGAACGCGGGCGGCGGCGGGTCCTCGCCTAAGTAAACACAGCAGAGCAGGCCCTGCCGGGACTGCGGTCTGCCGCCCTACCCACTCCTCCTCCCCCCATTCCCCCACTGCCTCCGCCCGCTCCGCCCTCTGCGCTGCGCCCTGCCAGACGCCCCCCCCCCTTGACAACAATTAAATGCGGCGTTTGATTGGGAACTGTGACAACTAGAAGTGGCGAGTGAGGCATGTCACTAATCCCGGTAACCAGCGCGGAACAATTTCTAGTGGTGAGTTATCGAGAAGCATCACTGTATCTGAACAAAGGGTAACGACACAAGGCATGTCATGTTATTCGCAGGACAAAATAAGAGGACTACGGCAGCAGCAGCAGGAGTTAGTGGGTGAACTGGCGCTGTACGAGGGCTGTTTAGACCACGTGAGGGAGGCAAAGAGTGAGTTTACTGCGACTGAACCCTGACACAGAACGCCCGGCCGTGGCGCGTTGTATGCACGGCACGCCGGTGTTACACCCGCAGGAGCTGCGGCTAGACCATCTCCCACGGTACGGGTTATGGCGCCCCTGCCGCCCACCCCGGAGAGCTCGATGGTGACCGCGGCGAGCTCAAGGTGGCGGCCAGCGCGAGCCCCGTCGGGCCCACAGCTGCCAACTACACCTCCACCCAAATGCTCTAAGGGGCCAAAGTGACGGCGCCCCTGTACGTGAGATTAAAACCAGTAATGGGCAATGCGGTTTTTTGTCTCAGGACTAGGGGC